CATGTTGTTTTTTTCCAATTTATGAATTATAGTAAATTAAAAACACTTATCATCACTTCATGATAGCAATAAAAAGTTGACACCCATTTATTCACATGTGTATTTCTGATTATTTATTTATTTATTTAAGAAAGGCGTTATTATATCGATTATTCAATACTTTTATAATTGGAGGATTTCCTCATGAGCTGACATCAGTTAGAGAAGCATTAGAAAACCAGCACTGGAGTAGTGGGTATCTACCTCGTCCTAGTTTGGGACTCTTCATCAGTACGCATTTACCGCCACAACTAGAACCCGTGACCTTCTGGTTACAAGGCCAGCGAGCTCGTAGATCATTAAGCCACTGGGACCCACCTATCCAATGACCAGCCCATGAATTCTAACATCTTCCAATTCACCACATAACGCGATCAATTCGTAATAACTCTGATGAGTAACTATCCTCACCTTCAACCTACTGTACCAGTGGCTTAATGGTCTACGAGCTTGCTGGCCTTGTAACCAGACGGCGCTCAGCTCGAACCCTGGTGGTTGTTGCGTACTGCTGAAAAGTCCAAAGCTAGGATGAGATAGATGTCCAGTACTCTCTAGGTGGTTGGTTTCCCAATAGTTCTCTACCCGATGAGTCATACCTTTTTAAAAAATGAGGTAACTAAGATCACACAGTTCATTAGAGAAAATGACGTAGACAGTGAAGAAAATTTTCTTTACGACGTAACATTTTCATACACTCTACAATCGTAATTTGTGCGTCGTTAGCACAGTGGTAGAATGCTCGCCAACCACGCATGTGGTCCGGGGTTCGACCAACGGCCGACGTACTCCTTTACCTCACTAAGCCAGTAGTAATAAGACTGGTACAGAGGGAAGGTTGGGCATGAGGCTGGCTAGCAACCCAATCCTGTAAAAATAAAAACACCAGTGTTACCGAAACTTCAGGCCTCTAGCTTGAAGCCGCCCTATGTTCCACTGGAAACGTAAAGGAATAAAAAAAAATAATCGTAATTATATTTAACAAAGAGTTCATTAGACCAATCACACTGATAATTTTTTAGGAAACGTATTACGTAATTTAAGGTGTAATCTAGAAGAGGATGACTAGTTGGAAAAGGAGGGCAGAAGTTCAGATGACGTCATAAGTTTGAGAAAATTACTAATCAATATAACTGTGTTGGAAAGACGATTAAGTGTTCCCTATAAGATCTGTATGGAAATGCAATCTTATTGGTATACAGAAATAGAGTGGTAATAAGACAAGAATGATGAGAATAATAATAATAGTAAACTTGTAAAACAGTATGAAGCAAAATTATGGTGAGAACGTTATAATGGCCACGGTAGGTTGGCGAGTGAAGAAATGTATTACATCTGAGAGCAGAAGTCCGGTTTCAGATCCCTAATAACCAATGATTCAGCTATTTATAGGTGGCAATATTGAGTAACTATATGTAGCACTGTGAAGCATTCATGCAGGGATGCTAGAAATGCAGCAGTCTTCCGGACAACTTGAGCTACAATCTGAGAATAGTTGGCATGCGATTTGCTCCCGCCAAATGTAAGATGATGCTAAACGACTGGACTATATTGACTACCAGCTTAAAGAAAGGGAGTGAAATGATTAGTGAAGCATATTGACTACTTCACTTATTTGGGAAGTTGCATTAACCAGTGCCAACGAGTTGATCGCTGACGAAATCTCAGCACCGATACAGAAGGCTCGTTGGTCATTTACCCGCCAAACTTACGCCATCTTTGGCCAAGTAGACGTGATATCCGGTTGGCTGTCAACCAAAGGACGTATGGTGTGTACTGCTCAGCAGTCCGCTCTGTCCTCCTTTGTGGATGGCTGGCTGTGAGACATGGTCTTTGAAAGTGGAAGACATGAAAAAGCCGGCTAGCTGTCTTTGATCATAGGTGTCTGCGTTCTGTCTCTGTGTTAAGTGGTAAGTGTAGTAGGGTGAGCAATACTGAGGTTAGACCTCAGTCGAGTGAGTGATAGGTAGGTGGGAGGGGAAATCAATCGACGAGGTTGTGAAGTTACAGCGATTGAGATGGTTAGGACATGTGTAGCTGCGCATGAGCCTAGCCTAGCTATCGCCTTCCTCGACAACAGGCAATGTTATCTGACTGACGTAGGATGGATCAGGTTGGAAAAGAGAGAGCTAGTGGTGGTCAGAGAAAAACATGACTTCATCAGTCAATGAAATCCACTACAGTTAGTCTGAGCCAATCTCGTAGGGAGGTGTAGACTGCCTGCCTACCTGGTTGGGGTCCTGGGAATGGTAAGAAGCAATGATGGCTGGAGACAACTGATGATATGGCTCAAAATCCTCGTTGTCAATGGCTGGCGCAGATGCATTCACACACTTTGTGATTTGTCATATCTTATAAAATTCTATTGTTCTTCCATATTACTATTCTTTTTGCCTCACACTTCTGTTTAGTATCCCTCTTTACTCTCTTCTCTTGCTTTGCGTGCTACATGGAGGGAGAGTGGCAACTCGAACTGGTGCACATCTGTGCAAAGTTCTACGTCGAAGCTCAGTGACAGTCATTATAAGCGATGATTATATTTTAGAGTCTAGGTTGAACCATATATATGAGACTCTCCGATTTACATTGATTTCTAGGTAGAAACCAACTTCAGAAGCGAGTAAACGTAACATATCACAAAACCTAACATGATCATACTAAATATTTGTAAGGAATGGCCTTTAGATTTTTGACTTAGGATTGCATAAAATCTCAATTCTTAAAACTCCCTATCCTTATAAGTTTTCCCTAGTCACTTGTCTTACAGAGGAAACACGTTGCTCGAAACAAATAAAGGGGCTATGATGCAAAAATAAATTCAGTGTGCACCACTATAAACAGGACACATAGAGTACTTTTCAAATTTATCTTCCTTTAGCCAATGAAATCATCCAAGAAAATAAGCTTGAGACTGTTTAAATACTTTATTACCACCAACATATTCTACAAATCATCTTGAGAAACAACTGGTCGTTGACGTACGGAACTGATAACCTCACTAAGTAGCATTCTAATATGACGACTTTATTGTCCCATGCTCATTTATTTGTCTACTTTTGCTTTTTTACAAAATATTCCAGCTGATCGTGAAGAACACCGTTTAACTCCACCTGATAGAGACATCAAAGTTGCTGATGATCATCGACCAGGTCATAAACGTCATCCACCGCCTCCACTCTCTCCAACATCTAAACGTGATATTCACTATCCACGTGATGCAACTTACAATCAGCCAAGAACTCCACATGATTCTTCACAAACTGGTAAGTCAGTTTATGGTGTACACGTTTATTTAAAAATGCAGTGTGTGTGTGTTTGTGATTCAGTTTCAAGACGTTGTGAAGATGTAAACCTGAAACTCGCAAATAGTCTTTTAGAGGCTGAGGGCGTCGATGTTTACGGATAGTATGAAGTATACTAACGCAAGACCTAATACCCACAACTTATATATTCGTTCCGCGTAGAGCAAAGGCAAAGCAAAACACTAGAATTGACCGTCCAAATTACGAGTTATACTTCGGGACCGAATCGGAGTGCGAGATGATTGCTTAACTAGCTAGGGATCGTGCATGAACGTGGCACGACGGCGTACCAAATGGCGTGGATGCTTGACCGGAAGCCTTCAGCTAAACAAGTTGACTTAAACAGCGAGGGTCAGCATCCAATGTTCAATGATGAATACTGTGTCCAATAATTCTGAGGAATTACCTACCGCTACAGTCTCAAAGCTAACATTTATATGCTTTTGGGTAGGGAAGAGAAGTCAGTTGATATTGGTTATGAAGCTATATTGACTGAAATGTTGGCTAGGTCACGTGTTACGTATGCCAGCCAAGCCACTGCCTTCCTCGACGAGTATTGTTACCTCCTGACATTAGATTGGGTTGGAACCAGCCCACCATTAAATCTACAACACTTGGTTTGAGCCAGTAATCATGTAGGGAGGTACTGTTTGTTTGGTTTTGGATCCTCAGGATTCCGAGAATCAATGGCTTGAGAGTGCAAATGCACTTACTCTTTGTAAACGATATCCCCATGTTACAATTCAGTCCCCGCCGTACATTTCTACTCACTATAGTTCCTTTGAATCTGATTTTCTACACCTCTGTGAACTGTGGCAAATTGAGCAGCAGAATTTCTGTGCAAAGTTCTATGTCGGAGATCAGTCAAACATTTACGTCTCAACTTGATTTGCCGCTACTCTGCGGGAATGTTTTCGCGAACAAAATATGTAAAGTTGACACTGCTTTGTTACTCAAACAAAGCAAATCCCTTCCTGGGAATAACTGTTTCCAAGTGAGCGAAGAAGAGTTCCTCTATGAAAAGTGAGTCACTAAGTTCCTCGGGAAAATCCAAATAACTTATCGGCTTCTGCTCAAATGGAAATGACACGAGAGCTGGTAGCTAGAAGTATACAAAATCCAGAGACATTTAGGATATTCTTGACTTCGTTGGAAAGAATCAGATGCTAGGGGCTGTCTAACGCACTGAGCTCTAGGGACAGTGAAAAACGTACCTCATCGTCATAAGGCATGTAGGATTAACCACCAACTTACAATCTTACTGTTCCTCATTTTACACCTACAATTCCAGGACGTTTCAGGAAAATTTTCTGGTGAAATATCTAACGTCTCCCCTTGTTTATGATTCAGAGCTAAAGCTCCTATCCTTTATCTACCGAGCGAATGACACTTAAAACCAAGGTACTTAATTCACATACCCATAACGAAATGCCTTAATGTAATTAACTATAGGCGTGACGAACTACTATACGGCTAGAGTGTCTCCTAACTGACACACTTCGACAATGCGGGCTACAATACGTAAAATGAGGATCACTGCACCCAACACCTACCAAGAAACGATTGCAATACCTTTGAGCATCAAGTTGCCTCTAACTCCTTGCCCAACCATCACATTTAGCCAAAATACACACAGAAACATGAAATAAGAACCCTTTAAAATTATGGAAATTATAAGTTTATTTAATGCCAACTATGAGAATAGTAAGAAATGAATACAAAAGAGGAGGAAAACAACATCTCAGTTCATCTTTGAGAAATAAGACATAGCTCCAACTGGATCAGGTTTCATTGTAGCTGAATTTGGTTTCCAGTTGGCAGGGCAAACTTCACCATGCTTTTCGAAGAAAATGAATGCGTCCAACACACGAATTGCCTCATCCACAGATCGGCCTACTGGACGATCATTCACAGTGATATGACGTAAAATGCCTTGACGATCAATGAGGAACATGCCTCTAAAATGAGATTAAAGTTAAATGGTTAACTAGGGATTAGTACAGTCATATCGAATAACACTTATGCGGCGCTATGAAATACATGACAGAACTTCTCATACAGAATGATGAAACACATCAGACTGAATATTAAAAAAACCATGAGAGCTGATACATTCATCAGGCAGGTGAACAATGCCTGTATAATCATCTGGTTAAAAACACTTCCGTGAGATTTAGGCATTTTCTACGCAGCCTAGCTTACGTAAATGCAAAGAACAGCTTTCCAAGTAAAAAGTTAATAAAATGACCAGAAACAACCAGTATGAAAATGGGAACGTGTCAAACACATTCACAGTAGTAACATCACACACCAGGTCCTCGAGTGGAACCTGAATGGGGAACAAAGAGTTGGACGGCCAAGAGTGGCATGGAGTAGATTGTGTGAGGTGAAGATAAAGCCTTATGGGCAATCGCGGAACCAGCTATTAAAGGGGTGCAAAACTACAGTAAGAGATGGAGATGAACTGTTGGAGCCCTGTATCCCATTCAGAACCTAAGGGAGTAACAATGATACAGTGATAAGATTGGATGTTACATTATAATTTAGAAATACTAGTAGGTTAGTTTCTGGAATCGAGACTCCTGTGAGATGAGAAGTACTCGTACATATGTTCAGCCATGCATGTGTAATTTCAAAATCCTTAGTTAGGTAAGGGTCATACTTGAATAGAAATACACACAACCAAATCAGTACAACTCACCTGAATGCATGACCTTCCTCTTCATCCAGAACTCCATAAGCGCGTGATATTTTCAAATTCTTATCAGATAAAAGTGGTATATTCATTTGACCCAAGCCTCCAGCTTTACGATCCAATTTCGTCCATGCTAAATGAGCATACACAGAATCAGTAGAACATGCGATAACTTGACATCCTCGACTTTTAAAGTCTGCAGCTCTTTCACTGAATGCAATTATCTCCGTTGGGCATACGAATGTGCTTTAACGACACAAAAAAAATAAGAGCAGGAAGGCACTTTGTTATTCACGTGAGAGTGTAGAACCATTTTCAGATATGATTAGAATTTGGGGGAATTTGACTTACAAATCTAACGGGTAGAATAACAATATGACGTATTGTCCACGATATTCACTCAAACTGATGGGACGAAATTCTGTGCCTACAACGGCTGTACCTTGAAAATCAGGAGCAGGATGATTAGGAAGCAACATGTTCGTTGTGCGGTTGACCAAATCCGAATGCAATCCACAAACTAAAAAGGACACAATAAGCAGTAGTGAGTGCTCTAAATATACTCGCTGCATTCTGCAAAGGGGGGATTGGTAGCTTTGGTTTATTTAATGTCACAGGGCAGTTCATAAGGTATGTCTACCTTTTTCTAAATGCCTATTGGCCCATTTCAATCAGCCAATCAGCAATAAGAAATAGGTCAGACAAATAACCTTCAAGCATTAGTATGATTGATAGGAATCAAGGTCTCAATCGATTGGGCCGTTTATTTTTATTATTTGTAAACTTTATTGACCAGATATAGATGAGTTTGGGCATGTTTTTATAAGTCACTCAACAAAGATAATAGTTTTGGCGCTTACTGCATTATGAAGAACAAGAGCTTTTTTGGCTTAGGTTGCATGGTTGCCTGTATACGTCCTGTGGTTGTAGAATTCACTTGTCAGGATCTTAGGAATTTCACCCACCATCAACCTTACCAATTCAGATTTCTATTTTGTAAGGTGGATATTAGAGTTTGCCAGTCTTTTCACATCAGTAAAAGGGATCATTTAATTCATCTTGGACTTTCCCGTTGATTGATTGGATCGAAGTGCTCGGCCTCAGGTTGAAATGTTGGCTCCTTGTACAGATGCCTCGATGATTATTTTACCTCAAGTAAATTGGTGAATGGTGACTAGTGGTGGAATCCAGGATGCAAATTTCGTCCCATTTAGGACTCGTCACTGTTGGGTGTACCTGCATTTCCCAATGAGTGATGGTGTCCCCACTTTGGCCCAATCAAGTTGGATTAAATAATTACTGACACCCGTTGCATAAAAAAGCTGCAGTCCATGTGGTCGAGTGGATAACGCATTGGCGTGTGAAACTGGGTTCGACCCTCAGTGGGGACACCATCACTGAGGAATACAGGTACATACAGAAGACGAGTCCTAAGTAGGATGGGACGCGCATCCTGGATTCCAATGATAGTCACCATCCGCCAATATACTTCAAGTTTGAACGAATCATTATCAAGGATGAAAATGGGTCTTGAAAGTTAGGTTGTGCGTACATAAATAGGCGAACAATTGATGAAGACATTATTTCCCTCGAGATCAGTTAAACCAATACGGACTTTATCCACCACAGTTGATCGATAGGATTTCCGTAAGTAGTGAAACTACACCTCAATGATTGTAAGGGCTACCTCAGTGACTTCACGTCGCAATCGTCTGATGGGAGAAATTAAACTTTAGTGGTCCTGGTTAGCGAGCTCACTGCTGACGTTGAGGTGGCCAATCACTTTAAAGAAAGCAAATTTAGGTGAGAAAAAGTTACAAGGTTACCGTCCTTGGCCATATTTACGGGTGGACGTATGCATACCTACCAGTTTAGAAGACTGAAGGATCTTGACGCCTACGCGATATACGGCGTATATAAACGCAAGTTTTTATCCCCCCCCCCAACTCCTATAGTACTTGTTTCGCTTAGGCCAGAGATACATCAAAACAAGAAACTAATCGTCAATAATTAAAGATTATAGAGCGATGATAATTGCTCAGCTAGTTAGCTAGAGGTTGTGCACAAACGAGTGAATTTAACACGACAGCGTACCAAATGGTGTGGATGCTTAGCCGCGTGCCTTCAGCTTAACAACAAGTCAACTTAAACAGTGAAGCTCAGCATCGAATGTTGAATGAAGAATGCTTCAGTTTTATGATTCTTTTTTTGGAATTATTTGCAGCTACACGTGTAAGAATAACTCCCGTCTTTCCCATTAGAATGTCAGTTGGAAAGTCGAACAGCAAACTATAACTTATGTTATTAATCCAAATGACTAGGTCATAGCATTCAGAGTTACGTTAAAACAGATATTCTTTTTCGACAACTTAAACATTTGAAGATATTTTCAAAAGAATGGACATGGAACAAAGAGTACGCTTTTCGATAAATTCATCATCAGGTTCTACAATTATACATACATTATAGTGAATGAATGAATTAGTCTTATGAACGACATTAATGTTTAAATAACATCAAATCAATAATATTGATAAATTACAGCTGAACAGCATCAACATAAAATAAGCTGAATGTCAGAAAAATTAGGGAAAGTAATAGTACAAATTCATGAGTTTATAGTCTCTACTGAGGGCCAGCCAGGGCAGTAGTAGGGGCTGGACTTGTTTCTTTTGAACACAGAGCACTGGTTTTTTGAGGCGAATTGCAATAGTCTCTGCTGTTTGGAGCATGCGGTGCTTCGACGATTTTGGTAATTTGTTAGGCACCTGGTATATTATAGAGAAGGATTCTTCCACACTGGCTGGCTTTGTGGCCGGTTTGCACCAGATGGTCTAATATCGAGCTGTTAATGGTTTTAACTACACCTTTACTTAGCCATAGTGGGATATGTTCTCGAGCACGAAAAGTCAAGTTCCTAGAGCAACGGCCGATATAACTCGCTTCACCACAAGCGCAAGTGAATTGATAGATACAATTTGAAGTGGCCAGCTAGTCTAGGTACTTCATCTTTGAGTAGAGGTAGCACCATCGATCGTGTAGAGAATAATACGTGTAGTTCACCAGCATTAAAAGTTCTTTGAACTGATTTTCTTAATTTCTTCGTAATTAACTCGCTTGGTATATCGCCTATGATTTGCAGTCGTATATATAAAGGCTTCTTGTTTACAAACAGTGAATAGTCCTTTTCCGCTTTCTTTGTCATATGTTTCTTGATAAATTTGTCAGGATAACCATTTTCGATTAAAGTATCATATACCACGCTTAATTCATCTTTAATTACTTCTTCAGAGTATATAGCTCTAACTCTGTGGCTAAAGGTCTTCGCTGAATTGCTTTTGTAATTGATAGGAACGAAGCTGTGAAAATGTGTGTATATTGTCCTGTCCAAGTGCTTTTTCTATGCAAATTTCTTTTTATGCTACCGTCTGGTTTTCTTGTAAGTAGGACATCCAGGAAGATATTCCCATCAACAACTCGAGATGGAGGTAATACTAACTATGGTCTGTCTTCTGGATCTGACGTCCACACAAAATGATGTTATGGTATAATTTTCTGTGCATTGTTTTCTATAACGATAGCGAAATATCAGAGGTTTAGTTCCTACGGTAGTGATGATAGTTTCTCGACTCAGGGATGGACTTGTTACCAGGGAATAGTCTCGTCGACTTAGAATATGCAGATGATATAGTCCTCCCAACTAGTGGGAAGACGCTGACAAAATACTGCAGAGTCTTCTGAACACCTTGAGCTACAATCTGAGAATGTTTGGCATGGGATTCGCTCCCTCTGTCAAATGTAAGATGTTGCTACAGGACTGGACTACATCGACTCACTTCTAGCTTAAAGATAGGGAATGAAGTGGTTTGTGGTGCGTGTTGATCGCTGACATTTCTTTATGTGAATGGAATCCTCTTCCAAGTTCTTAACATCTACGGTCTGCAAACTTATGATTATGTCACATCCCACACTATTTACCAATTTTCATGTATGTGTGGACACACATACATAGGGACGAGTAATCGTGCTTTGCATGTGAGGGTGGTGGAGAGCATATCCTGAAATGGTTAGAAAGACAAATGAATTGTGGAAGGTCAATAGACACAGGTGTCAGACTACCAACTTCGTCTATAGCCAAACATCTAATGCAGATGAACCATAAGATGATTGATGTTAACACAGCCTTTAAGGTCATCTATAAAAATGGTCAAGGGCGCTTATTGAAATACGTTGAGGTTATAGCTATTCATAAATTTAAGTCCCCCACCTCCTGTGTACTCAAAAACAGTTTATTATTACTCTTAACCTACCTTGGTAATCCTTATTTGATTGGATTACCAAACGTTGTGTTAATCATTCTTAAATCCTCTTTGTGTCACTTTGTTTAATTTAATTGCCCTTTATTTTTTTCATATATATCGAATTGAGAAGCAAATGTGTGATCAGATTGTTCGAAATGTATAGCGCAAATACATCCCACATTAGTTTTCAAATAATCTCCGTCTTCCAATAACGACACTACCCAATTTTTTTAAAAGAGACTAATGTTTTTTTAAAAGCGAGAGAAATGAAATAAATATAAAACTTGGGCACTGTAGCAGACTATAACTCCATTATGGACAAGATTTTATTTTGATAAATTGCACAGTGTTGTGTTATACAGTAATATTAACTGATGACCACCTTTCGAGCACAAATTATCATTGCCACTCATAATCATATCAAGGCACTACTCACACAACTTTTTACTTCATTAATATACATATGTGGAATTGAATAGATATTTGAATAAAAGTTAATATAGGATAATGTACATGCAGAAACAATAATATGAGTGTTATTGATTAAATGTAAGACGAGTGTTTTTATAATCAAAATAAGTAACTTGTTAGAATGTTGTGATGTGCTTGCATTGAAATAGAATTTTGAGATTATTTATTATCCTCCTCTGATTTGACTGACTGGTAGTAATAATATCTTCCATATTTCTGGTATTTGCATTGAGTCATTTCGGTTGCATGTGTTGTGTTGGGTGTGTAGACTCAATGAACCAGCATTCAGTAATCAATCTCTCTCGCTCTCCACCTACATAGATTACTTCTTAGAATCTTAACCATCTCCCACTCTATTGTGTGGTTGTGTGTTTATGCATGCAGTGCAATACATTGCTGAGCTTTTTTCTAAATTACTCATCTTCTCGGGGTCAACCATTCTTACCTTAGCTAAATTCTTATGTTCTGACAATCTGACTACCCCTGACCTACTAGTTTGACCTATGTAGTTGACCTTAAAATTCTATTTCAATTCACATACATTATAACATTCTAACAAGTTAATTATTTATTTTACTATGAAAACACTCGTCTTATTTCCCATCTGATTGTATTTGATCAATAACACTCATATTATTATTTCTGAATGTACATTATCACATATTGATTTTTATTCAAATATATCTAGTCAATTCCACACATGTATATAAATGAAGTAAAAAGTTGTGTGAGTGAGTAACTTGATATGATTATGAGTGACAATAGTTTGTGCTCGAAACGTGGTCATCAGTTAATATTACTGTATAACAACACTGTGTGATTTATCAAAATCAATTTTACACATTATCCAGAGAAAAG